CGCTTCCCTTTTTTTTTTTTTTTTAAGGGTTTGCCATAGGATACCTGTGTTCACTGGAGAGACAGAGACAGTGAGAGGGAAAATGAGAAATCACCCACCATGGGGGATGGCCACGCCGCAATCCCTTCTCTTCCATTCTCCTCTTGGGATCTTGGGCATGCACGCACACGCGCCCGGCGTGAGTTTTAAGCCGCCGGGTCCAGAACTCGAATCGTGGTCGACTACGTGGGAGTCCAGTGACATAGCCATTACGCTAACTGCTGGTCCCTGAATTATTATTTCTTAGAAATTAATCATATTTTTCTGTTTCTAGTTTCATTATCTCCTGTCACAAAAGAACTAAATATTGATTACTTTAAGTTGTACAAATAAGTGTTACAAAACATTAATATTTCATTTCTTTGGAGCTTATTTTTAGCAGCCATAACTTGCAAATCACAAGTCAACTAGGAATTCAACAAACACCAGTTTCTATCATAAACAAACAAACAAAAACAAGAAAAAAGGTATCATACACTTAGACCTTCAAGTTCCACACAAGTTTTACAGGTTTAGACCATGATTTTTAACTCTTTTAGAAAAGGCAAAAGAAAGGTAGAAATGAATGAGATCATACTATAGAAAGGCACTTTGAGAATAGTGATGAGAGAGAATTTAGCCTGAAAGGACTGTGTAAGAGGAAATGAAAAGTTAAATATAAGAAATAGTATATAGCTCTAAAAATGGCACACAGAGTTTTAGATAATTCAAATTTTAATAGATGCCTTTATTTTTTAACTCACCTAAAGAGTCTCAAAAACAATTCTTCATAAATTTCATGAATATTCAAAATATTTATCCTAACGAGAATTTTATTTTCTTTGTATTTTATTTGAATTAAAGGTTGCAGAGAGAGTGGCCGCAGAAAGGGCAGAATCTTGTGGGAATGGTAACAGTACCGGATACCAAATTCGTCTCCAGAGGTAAAGAATGTTTACTTTTATACAGATGGATTTTTTTGAAACTTCAAAGCTGGAGATGTAAAAGAAAAGTTTCTTAAATCCCTGTTTTTACGCTAGTTATTGTTCTTAAAATTAACATTTAAAGCAACTACAGCATAGGTGACCTGCCCCCACAAACTCATCTTTTCACTCAAATTAGATCTGGTTTGCATTTTTAGAATGTGTTTTTACATTGTAGAATAGTTAGAAAAACAACTTTTTTGGGATATACGTTAATAAAGGAGTTGGTGTCCCCTACCTTTGGTACCACCTACCCATCTGCTGAACGACTTTAATGATTTTCATTTCTTAAACTCCCTATCCTACTACCGTATGTCTTTATTTTTTCTGGAGCTCAGAATCAGAAATTTAGACCTCATAAATGGTTCAGTCATTCTTTGAATTGTTATGGTTTAACTTTAAAATGAAATCATTAACATTGTATCATGGCAATGAAGATAATGCATGATGAACTTGACTATAGTATTGCCCATTACTTTATTGTGTTAGGAGTTCTTATAATGAAAAAAATTAAGTATGAAGAGTTTCATTAAAACTAAAAGCATTTCCAAAATAAAAGCTTTTCTTTTAAACTTTTATGGCACTTAGTAAATTATTAGGGGGGAAAAACCCAAAAAAACAAAACCAGTATTAACTCATGTCTTTTCATCCATAGTCGGTTGCCAAGGAAACAGGGTTCTATTTTATACTGTACAACGGGAATCATCCTTCAGTGGCTCCAGTCAGACCCGTGAGTATGTTGAAAAATATAATTACTAATTATACTAGATGTTGCAGAAAGATAATGGTTGTTTTAAAATTTTATACTGAATTACATACCTTATACTTCTGCTTTAGGCATTTGTCCAGTGTTAGTCATATTGTGCTTGATGAAATCCATGAAAGAAATCTGCAGTCAGACGTTTTAATGACTGTTATCAAAGATCTTCTCAATTTTAGATCTGACCTCAAAGTAATATTGATGAGTGCAACACTGAATGCTGAGAAATTTTCAGAATATTTTGGTGAGTAAAATTTGTGGTTTATGACATTAGAAAAGGTACCAGAAAACCACTGAGTTTAATGTTTTAGGTAACATAGTCCTAGTTATAGAGTAGTCAAAATAAATTTTGCAATTTATTTTATTTTATTTATTAGGATACATCTTTGTAGTGCCATGGCTTAGAAGATCAGGCCTGTTTTTGAATGGTAGCATCATCCCTGCTTTCATAGCAAAAACATGTAGCTTCTTGGTGCTTTCACCAGACGATTAAAGTGCAGTTACTGAAGTCAGATTACAGAGTTGAATACTATTTTTTTTTTGGAGAGATTTTTGCTATAGAGTGCGTGCACTTGCCAGAAAGACAGAGACAGAGAGGCAGAAAGCTAGTAATTGCCCCCCGGAGGGTGGCTATGCCACAATCCCTTCTCTCCTCCATTCTCCTCTCGGGGTCTTGGCCATGCACGCACACGCTCCGGTGTGAGTTTAAACCTTCGGGTCCAGGACTCAAACCGAGGTCGACAACATGGGAGTCCAGTGACATAGCCATTACACTAACTGCTGGTCCCTAGAGTTGAATACTTTTATAAACATATTTTTGTGATTCTTCTGTGACTTTTATGTATTAACCCAGGGTATGGTGGCAATTGGCTAGTGACCACTAATCATTAAATACTGGTAACGACTTATGGAACACCTTCAGTGTGCTGGGTAGTATATCTGGCACTATTCTTATTAATTCCCATAATAGCTTGTGAGGTTGGTACTATATTATCCCCATTAAAAAAAATATTATTGTTACTTTTTAAGTTTTCTATAAGGCCCATGCACTTATAGAGAGAGAGAATGGGAGCACGTGTACCCCTGAGGGCCATGGCCATGCTGCAGTCTCTTCTCCTCCATATTCCTCTCGGGAATTTCAGGCACACATCTTCAAATGTATGCAGATCAGAGGCAGAGCAGTGATTCCAGCTCAGATAATTTACCTCTCATGTAGTATTGGCCTTTGACTATAGTATATACTATATATATGCTTGTTGTGAAATATAAACAACATTTGGATAAAAGTACTGAGACTTTATTTTTAATTAGTGATTCTTAATTACTAAGTCATAAATTAATATTACTTGGATCTTACTTTGACTACTTTTTTACATCTTAATTCTGGCTGCCATGAGAAGTAATGCATATGTAGATTTCATTAAAACTTGTGTTCTTGATGTGGCACCATCTTAGCTAATGATGAATAGAAAATAGACAGATTTCAAGTGCAATTTAAAATCATCTATGTAATATTCTGTGTTATATTGTAGAACTATCATTTGTGTGTATAGCTTATTTAAAATAAAATAAAATATTGAATGAAGACTGTACTGTTCTTTTTTTATTAAATTAAGTATGGAAAGATGGTAGAATTATAGAGCCACAGGTTCATTTCCTAAAATTAAGAATAAGTAATGGATCAACTAGTGGCGTGGTGGTTGAGGCACTGGACTCCCACCTGGCTGACCACAGTTCAAGTCCCAGACCTGACAGCTTGCTTCCTCACTCTGTTTCTCTCTTTATTAACCACATGTACCCTATAGCAAATTTTTAAAATGATAATAGTAAAGAAATTAAAATAAATAATTCTTAAAAAAATTTTTTTAGAAATTATGCTGGGTGTGTATGCCCAAAATCCTGAGGGGAGATTGGAGGAAAAGGAATTGCAGCATGGCCAATCCCCCATATGGGTGATTTCTTACTTTCCCTGTCTCTGTTTCTCTCTGTCTCTCTGCCACAAGTACATGTACTCTCTGGTAAAAGCCTAAAATAAAAGAATAAGTCACTGTCTTATTATAGTATGTTGTTTGGGTTTTGTTTTATGTTTTTTAGCATTTGAGTCCATTTATATTTATGTTTTGTCTGCTATGATAGGTAACTGTCCAATGATACATATACCTGGCTTTACTTTTCCGGTTGTGGAATATCTCTTGGAAGATATAATTGAAAAAATAAGGTAAGTAAACTTTAAAAAATAAATTAAAAAGCACTAATATGTCACTTTTCTCATTTCATATTCGAATTGGTCTCAGAAACTCATCATTGACCATGTCCTTCTAAAACATGTTGCCATCATCAGGAATTCACAACCTTGCTTGAACATTAGAATTGCCTGGAGCTTTTTAAACTCCATATTGCTCATTCATAATCCACACCTTAATTACATTACAGTGTCTTGGATTGGTGGCCAGACATCAGTTTTTATTCCTGGGTTGCAAAGTTTGCGAACCTCTGTCCTTAGTGCTTGAATCTTTTTTTCTCTGTTGTCTTCTATTGTCTGCTCTTTAAACAGGATTCCTCCCTTCAGATTCTCAGTCTTTCATGTTTTCATTGTACAGTCCTACCTTCTAAATGTAGTTCTCTTTTTCTAGAACTGAAACTGTTTCTAAACCTTGTTTTTTATTGGGCAGCTTCCCAGTATCACAGATACATTGAATGTAACATTTTCAAGCCCAAATCATTATCTCATATTAGATCTTAACTCGCTCCACCAAAAATAAATAAATAAATAAAGCGATCTGTCTTACTCTGTATACTTATAATAGTTAATGATATTATCCTCCACCCCATTTTCTACACTAAGTCATACAAACTAATATTTATCAGGCAGTTATGCTAACTGCTTTCTATGCTGAGTAACCAGTTTATTCCACATCATTTTATTCTTTCCCCCCCAACACATACAAATTCAGAACTTTCTCCTTGAACTTACTTTGTCATTTTTATTTATTTATTTTAAATTTGCGGTACTAGTATGATAGTTCCTCTGTTTGTACTGTGGTTTCATTCTTGCTACTGTTGCCATGTATTTTCCCGAAAATAGATCTGATCATGTGAGCTTTCTGCCAGGCAAGGCTTCTACTATATGAGTTGTCTCTAAAATTAAAAACTGTTAAGCTTTATTGGTTTGCCATAGCCTATAGCAGAGCACCTGAGCAGCTGTGCCCCAGTTATTAATCCCCTTAATGCTTTGGTCACTGTGATTTGGCTGCTACCAACCTTTCAAAATTATATTTATATTTCTTGATGAGAAAAAGATGAGCAAACACAATCCCATAGGGTCAGGTTCAGATTCCTTATCTAATGACCCCAAGGCCCTTTACAATCTGGCCTCATCCTCTTCTAGCCTCATCTCCTAATTGTGTGCTCATGCTAAATGCACCATTCCATAATAGGCCAGCGTATGGCCTTTTCATTCATGACTTCGTGATTTGTTACATGCTGTTTCTTGGCTTTTGGACTTCATTTGCCTTTGTCTCTGTCATTTCATCTGTTAACTATTGGTTAAGAGAGAAAATTCCCTGCTTTATTGCCTGTGAAGTCTTTTAGTACCTACCACAGACTGAGCTGCTTTCTCATCTCGACTGCTATAGGAATTTATCTTATTCTCTTATAACAGTTATTCCCTTGGCATATATATTTACATTTGCCTCTTGCAGTTGATTCTATATTTCTCAGGGTTGTGGATTTCCTCTTCCTCATCTTAGTAACTAGTGCATAGCATCATTCCTGGCCTAGAGTAAACATCTAAATATATAAATAGATAGATGTAGAAACACTCATGATGAGGTTTTTTTACAACTCTACAGCTCATGTGTTAAACGACACACCAGGGACTGGTAGTAGAAAGGTGAGAGCAAAGATCCTGTAGTCTATTTTGCATGGGGTCAAAGTCAGCTGAGTTTCGACTGGTCTTTTATTTAATAATATTTATTAGCTTTACTCCATGTCTTGCACTGCACTATGGTCTAAGCATAAAACAAGGAAAAGCATGGTGTAAGCTCTCAGAACTTATGTCTAGATGAGGAGACATATAAGCTATTATATGAAGTCTGCAGAAAGTAAAGAGTATATCAGGGATAGTCTGGGGATATCAGGAAAACCACAGAGGTCAAAGAAGGAAGGAGGGAGATGTATGTGTCAGAGAAGGTGGAAGAAAAACTGAATGTGAGAGAGAGGGAGATTGCCCTGGTTATCTGAACAGTAGTCATCAACTGTATGCACTTCCTCTCAATTCTACTTTCTACCATGTGTTTCACTTCTTAGCGTGTATATTTAGCAGTTGGTTTTTAAGAGAATAATAGGCACAGCATGACAAAATGATAAAGTTTCGAAGATCATTAATCTAAACAGGATGATGAATTGCTTTCTTAAGCTTCCCAGAAGGCAAAGAATGTACAAAGAACTAAGGGTTTTCTCAAAACCAAAAGATGGTATTCTGTGTACTTGCCATCCCCTGACCAGCTCTAAGAGAGAGTTGAAGGAGCATGTTGTTTGGTTAGATTTTTATTAGGAGCCCCTAGTTATCTTCATCAGAAAAAAGAGCTGCTGCACATAGGAAGTAGAGGGGAGAAGTACAGTGGCCCTTTCAAGAGTAGGCCAAGGTGATTTGGAAGGTTGTGATTGGGTCCTGAAGTGTGGGAGTTGAGTTGCTAGGAAAGGAGTTGACTCTGGTCCATCCCACTGATGAGGACCAATCTTGGTCTGAGGTTGCCCTACTTCAAGTTCTTCCCACTACATATATCAGAGACTTAGGGGAATCCGGGGCACAGGTACCGAATAAGGAAGGAAATTAACACTTTCTGAGTGTCTGCTGTATATCAGGCACTTGCTTTTACTTTATCACAGTTTTTAAAATCATAGTGCTGGTACTGTTGTAAGATTTCAGATCTCTCAATGAAGAATACAGGCCAAAGTTTAATTACCTTGTCCAGGTTTATACATCTAGTCGAATGGCAGTAAGGACATCAACTCTGTCCAACTGCAAAGCCCATGCTCCTCCCTTCACCTCATTTCATCTAGATGCTCCTCTCCAGGCAAACTCTGGGAGGCTTTGGAGTTAAAGTGTAGGTTCTTTTATTTTGTCTCGTGTCCCCTGAACCTACAGTGGTAGAACTCTTAGGGAAATGAGCCCTTTGTGTTTCCAGCAGTCACCACAGCTGTCACCACAGCATGGTAGAATCAGTATAGCAAGGGACTGACACATAAGAGCATGACTGCTGATTCTCAAGCTCTTGCCAACTAACTGTGCAACTGAGAGAGTTAAGTCTAGTTTGAATCTATGGGTACACTCTGAATCTCCTGGGGGCTCTAATTAAAATTCATAGATTAGCAGACCCCAGATCTACTGATATAACAAGGGATAGATAGGATTAAGGAAAATGTATTTTACAAGATGTTCTTATGTACAGTCAGAATTGGAAATCTTATTTTAAAAATCTGAAACTTTCTTTTTTTTTTGGAGAGGTTTTTGCTATAGGGCGTGTGTGCTTGCCAGACAGAAAGAGAGAGACAGAGAGACAAAAAGCGAGAAATCACCCCCCGTGGGGGATGGCCACGCCTCAATCTCTTCTCCTCCGTTCTCCTCTCGGGATCTTGGGCACGCACGCACACGCGCCCGGCGTGAGTTTTAAGCCACCAGGTCCAGGACGCGAACTGCGGTCGACTACGTGGGAGTCCAGCAACATACCCCTTACGCTAACTGCTGGTCCCAAAACAAACTTTCTACAAGAGTAGGCAGTCATTAACTGTTAAGTTGGATTTATATTAATGTTAACTTTTGGTTTTGAAGTAACAAAATTAAGGTAAAAGTTACTCTAGTAGACTCTTAAAGGTGGTGTAGAGGTTTATATACTTCTATAAAAAAGAATGATTTTTATCTAAAATGTCAGGTTTTATATATTAATAGGCATTTTGACTAGAACATAGAATGAAACCATTCTTTAGAATTCTTTTTTAGATTGTAAATTTAAAAAGCCACAGATACTAGTAAAAGCAGAATTTCAAAAAAGCGAAGACATTTAAGAATATTTTTATTTTAGATATGTTCCAGAACAAAAAGAACGCAGATCCCAGTTCAAGAGGGGTTTCATGCAAGGGCATGTAAATAGGCAAGAAAAAGAAGAAAAAGAAGCAATCTATAAAGAACGCTGGCCAGATTATGTAAGAGAACTGCGAAGAAAGTAAGTATTTTTGAGAATGAGAACACAGTGGCTAAAAGACTATTACAAAAAACTGGAGTTCTCTTTGAATAGGTATATACTTAAAGGAGAGCATTATGAATTTCATATTCCATTTAATTGTTATGCTGGTTTGACTTTAAACACTATTATCCCAGTAATTCTCTCCTGTTCAGAGGTTATGATCCTCCATTTGCAGATTGAGTTGAATTTAAGCTTTTATAAGTTAAATCATGGGAAACTTCATCAAGTATTTATGACTTTCTCTTTAACTTTGATAGATATTCTGCAAGTACTGTAGATGTTCTTATGGAAATGGTAGATGATGATAAAGTTGATCTGAATTTGATTGCTGCCCTTATACGACACATTGTTTTAGAAGAAGAGGTTAGTTCTGTTTATTTTTATTCTTCAAGTGGCATATTTAATGTTATTAATGTGTTACAGTCACAAAAAATAATTTTCTTAAATGCTTTTGAAACATAGACCGTGGAAGAAATTGCTTTTGACACTAGAAATAAAACATTTAGGCCTTTGACCTATTAGAAGAAAAAACTAAGCAAATGAAATATCTGGATTATAAATCTTTATTTTTAAAAAGTGTCTTTAGTTATTAGCTAAAATTACCCCCCCCCCCAGTTAGTTTAATCTTAATGAAGAATTACAAGTGCACAGAATTTTGCTCTTAGTATGTTTGTTGATGTGCTCTTCAGTGATGGTTATTTCCCCTCTATGTAGGATGGTGCAATACTGGTCTTTCTGCCAGGCTGGGACAATATCAGCACTTTACATGATCTCTTGATGTCACAAGTGATGTTTAAGTCAGGTATCATATAAATGTTACTTATTGCAATTCCAAGGGGGATATTTGAATTATATGTAGCAAGATTTGTTTGATTTTTTTTGTTTTTGTTTTCCTTTGAAGAAGTGTTGCTTCTGAGGCCTTCATGTAAGAATTTGGTGATCTAAGCCAAGGTTGGGTTTTTTCCCAAAAGTCAGGGGTGGTTTTTTTTGTTTGTTTGTTTATTTTTGTTTTTTTTAGATTCTGGGTCCCATATGAAGGTGGTGGGTATGTAGTGAAGTCTTTTATTTAGTATTATGAAGAGTCTCTTTTACCTCTTTTCTTAAGTTTGTCCAATAAAATTGAGTCTTTAAAGTGTTGACAGTTGAGGTTTTTTGTTTAATCACCATGGCAGAAAACAAGGCTGAATTTATACCCAGTGTTCCTAACCTCTGATGACAAAACAGAGTCACTGTAGAGATTCTTTAAAATTCAGATGCAGGGACCAGCAGATGGTGTAATGGTTATGTCGCTGGACTCCCACATAGTTGACAAGAGTTGAAATCCCAGACCTGGCAGCTTAAAACTCAGGCCAGGTGTGTGTGCATACGTGCCCGAGATCCCAAGAGGAGGGTGGAGGAGAAGGAATTGCAGTGTGGGTAACCCACCAGAGGGATGATTTCTCACTTTTCTGTCTCTGTTTGTCTCTCTGGCTATTGACACACCCCACAGCAAAAATCTTTCTCTAAATTAATAATAATAATAATAATAATAAAGTTCAGATACATAGGCCCAGTGCATGACATGGCAGTTAGGGCAGGTGGATCATACATGGTTGACCAAGCCATTTGAGTCCCCGTCCTGGGCACATGTGCATGCATGCCCTGAAATCACACACAAAAAAAGAGGGAGACGTAATTGCAGCATGACCATGCCCCAGTGTGGACTGCCTTCTCACTTTCTCTATTTCTCTCTCTGGTGAGTGCACGTGCCCTCTGGCAACTCTAAAATATATAATGAGATAAAATTCAGATGATTAGACCCCATCCTTAGTCCAAATCTAAGAATGTGACTGGACATAAGGAAAATTTTTATAAAATCCTCAGGTTATTGTGATTCTTTAATTCCCCCCTTTTTTGGTGTAATTACCATGTTTTCTCTATAAAGAAATACTGCTCTTTCTTTGTCAGTGATGTTCCTCTTTTGCAAAAGTATAGAGGTGATTAAACTGTATAGCTGAATTTTTCTTAAACAACCAGAATTTATAACTTTGACCTCTTCCCATCATAAACATTATTGTGTGATCAATATCTAAGGTGTAAAATTATGTGTGTGTATATATTTATCAATAAAATGCATACCAAAATTAATATCACTACATTTGATGTATGTGATGGGGAGTGGAAAAAGGATATGTTTTACAGATTATTGTTACTGACTTCATTTACTTTCCAATTTGAATTGATTATTCTCTAAGAAAGAAGCATTGATTTATATGATTTATACTTCCACCACCAGCTCAGTTCCTTTAAAAGGAAATATTTCCAAAATTTAACAAAAATGTTTTTTCTCAAGTAAATTACATTGAAAAAAATAACCTTAATCAGTTATTTAACTAGCCACAGTAGCAGAGGAGAAAACTGGCCTAACTCTGTACTGGCTGAAAGTTCTTGACTCTTGATTATCAGCTTTTTTCTTCTCGTGAGAGCATGGACTTTGTTCCCATTAACTTTCTTAATTGTATATTATCACTGATATAAATTCTCCCCCCCCCCAGTTGTCTTCCATAAATTGTTCTTTTCTTTTTCTTGGCTACTAATTTTTTAAACTTTTTGTAATGAAACCTTTTAAAAATACACAGAATTAGAAAATCATAATGAATACTGTATACCCATAAATTCAATGTAACACTTATTTTTGTGGTCTAGTTTTTTTCTTATTCTTTCATGTTTTACCAGAGGGCGAATGTGCTTGCCAGAGAGGGAGAGGGAAAAAGCGGCCCATAATGGGTCACACTGCAAATCCCTTCTCTCTTTCTTCATCTTGTCAAGATTTGGGGCATGCAGACATGCACCTGGTATGTTTTTCAAGCCTCCAGTGCCTGGATTTGAAGTGCACGGTCAGCCATGTGGGGTCCAGCTCCCTTAACCAGTAGGCCATAAGGCCAGCCCTAGTTGTTTTCCTTTTTAAAATAAATTGCGCTATCCATTTTATCCCTAAATATATAAGCATGCATCTCTACAAATAGACTGTTTCCTATATAATGATAATGCCATTATCATATCTAGTCCTTAGTAACACCTAATAATCCAGTCTATAATCAGATTTTTTTTCTAAAAATGTCTTTTCTTACTAGCTTGTTCAAACTATACGTAATTTCAAACTAGATAACCTTTTCATCTAGTTCTAGAACATCAGTCCCATCCATTTTCTTTATGTAATAAGTCCAACATTCTGGACTTGTCTGACATTTTATGGTATCATTTCATTTGATCACTTCTTAATATATTTTCTGTAACCTACAAGGTATACCAGAAGGTCTGATTCAGTTTGAGTTAAATATTTTTGGAATATTATATAGATGATATATTTGATATTGCATTATAGAGACAGTTAAATTCAGAGCATTGTTTTTTAGCATCATAAATTGCTTAATAGCTTTTACAGCTTTTTAAATTTTTTTTTAATAAGCGTTTAAGTTTAGGCTCGAATTGTAGTTAATGAAAAGCATTATATTTTCTTGGATAGCAGCAGGTTGTTTTAGTGGGGGGGAATATAGCTATTTGAGTCATCTGAACACTGTTGGAGATTTGGCTCAGGTTGGATTTTTGTAACCTTAGTTAAACCTTGCTTCCTTAACACTCCATCTCTCCCATCACTGTACTATACTGAATGTCGTCTCTTGATAATAATTATGAATGGGCTTAAGCTATTTCATTTTGAAACTTAAAAAGGTATAGAATATGTAACTTAATATTTGTAACAAATTATGTTTACAAATGTACGTTACTTTTAGAATGAATTATATTTAATGAGGGTTATATTATTTTCTAATTAGGACATGGTATTTAATAAGTAATTTGCTTTAAAAGTTCCGGTATTCTCTGAATGTTTCAAGTAGTGAAGATCAACCAAAATCTGCCAACTTAGATTCATATCACCAAAGTTTCTAGTTTTCTACTTAAGTGGTGGAAATGAAATTAATGACCTTTTGTTGGTATGCTTTAAATAATTTCTCCCAATTTGGGGGCTTTTTTTTTTTAAGAATTTGGGGAAATGCCTATTAATATGAAATAACTCAAAATAAAATATGAAATGGGACTTATCGGAGCACTCAGAAAACAAGAATATATAAAAACTAGCTTGGTCTCATTGTATAAAGAAATGTAAATAAAGAATTATGTGACTCAGAATCTGAATTTATTATTCTTTATATAAGTTTGGTGGATCTTTTTTGTAAATTTCTTAAATTTAAATTAAATTTCTTTTTAATTTTCAGATAAATTTCTTATAATACCTTTACATTCACTGATGCCGACAGTTAACCAGACACAGGTATGTTGCTAAATTTGTCCATTCTCTTTCAACCTGATGCAGACTTTAAGGACTTCTTATTGTGCATTTTATTTTCTTTTATTTTTTTAAAAGAGCATTTTAAAATAGTAATTTATATAAAACTGCTTTCTTTGCAAATGTGTCTTTAAGGAATAATCGCAAAAAATCTTGAATAACAGAGGGTACTCTACAAATCAAATTAGCTTTGTCAACTTTAGGGAAAAATTTTAAGAGTTGGTTTCACCAATAACTTGTCTGGATATCCTGAATGAAAGAAGAAGGTATCTGTGTACCACTACATGTGACTCAACCTAGACATTATTTTTCTGTGACATTCTGCGGCTTGATGTTTGACATTTGGTTTAGTAGAATTAGTATATTCACAGGTGTGAAATTTTCCATTTCTTTAGTAATATAGTATGAATGTTTCTGCTCTGTAGGATGAACACTTTATCTTCAGAGGCAAAGTAATTTGCTGATTATAGTGTTGGCAGACCTTGATCAAATGAAATGGATGAGAAGCTCTATTATTTCCTTCCATTTAGTATCTATACTCCTTTTGTATAAGAAAATTCAAGACATTTTTTATGAAGACACTTCTAGTATCTCTTTTTGCTAGTACTTTTGTTCCTATTGATAGTGAGACTTCAGCCAGCTGAATCCAGAGTATATACCGAGGGAAGGGAAGGAGGGTGAAGATTCCTGAGATTGGACAGCAGAGTGTCTAATGTGGAGATATTTCATCTTTGTCACCCTAACCTAGTATATTATCTATTCCTTTTGATTACCAGTTTTATAAATGGGAGTTTAGGTTATGTTTTTTGTTTTTGCATTATAGTCAGTGGTACTTAGAACTACTTGTTTTCTTCCTACTTCAGTGGTATTGTCAAGGGTGGGCTTTATTTGTAAGAGTCAGCATTTGAACAGGATTATTATTATTTATATATTTTTTTAACTCCAGCTGATCTCACACTGTCTTATTAATACATCTATTCTTACATCCATTTTGATGGGCTAGGCATCTGCCCTGTTGGTTGGTGTAGGTTTGGCCTCATAATTTTTATCTCTAAAGTAAACTTCTCTCCCTTACACCTTCTAGCTGTTTTTGAATGACAAGCTATAAACTTAAATATCATTTTACTTAAAGCCTTTTGTTTGTGATAAGGATGTGGTATCTATGGGGGATTTACTTTCTTTCACCGAGAGAACTTTGTGGTATTTGAAATGATGTACACTTTTTAGATATGTCTATAAATATTAGATGGATTTGTCAATGAATGAACACAGAATGATAAAAATAAATAATGTCTGAAGTAATTCCTCTTACTACAAAAATAATGTATCAAAAAATTTGTACTTTTGTGACTTCAATGTATTTATTTTTAAATATCTTATTTTTACAGGTATTTAAAAGAACTCCTCCTGGTGTTCGGAAAATAGTAATTGCTACCAACATTGCAGAGACTAGGTAAAAATAGTTCCAAATATTTACTGCTAGTGATTATATAATTTTAAGCACCGTAAATTAAACCTTAATCTTCTTTCTCTACAAGATTTTTTTCAAAATTTGTTAAAGATAAAACTATTTAAAATTTCTTATATTCCTTATATTCCTTCGAGATACTAGTAATACCATTTAGTTACTGAAGCATTTTTTTAATGGAAGCTGTTATTAAACCATGGCCCACAGAACTGGGTATAAAAAGACATCAGGAAAGCTATGAAGGTTGGCTATGGACAAATAATTTAATATCTGGGGCCAGCAAGTTGCGTAGTCGGTAAGGCACTGGACTCCCACATGGATTACAAGGGTTCAAGTCCCGGACCTGGTATCTTGAAAAATCAAGCCAGGTACGTGCGTGTTCATGTCCAAAATCTCAGGAGAATGAAGGAGAAGGGATTCTGGCCTGGCTTTTCTCCCCTGGTAGGTGATTTCTCACTTTCTCTCTCCCTGTCTCTCTCTGGCAACCACACATACGCTATGGCAAAAATCTTAAAATTAAGAGAGATTTTTCCTATAGAGTGCATGTGCTCACCGGAGAAAGAGAGAAAGACAAAGGAAGAAATATCCCTCCCCCCAGGGATTCTCCCCTCCCCATTCTTCTCTTGGAATTTTGGGCATGCACGCACATGTGCCTGGCATGACTTTCAATCCTCCAGATCTGGGACTCAAACTGTATTTAGCCATGTGGGAGACTGGTGCCTTAACCACTACACCACTTGCAGGCTCCCCAGAAAAAGAATTTAACATCTGATCTGCAAAATTAGCATCTTTCTGCAATTACAGCTACTGATGCTGCCTGCTATTAGGTGCTTGATCTCTGTAACCTTGATAAATACGGAAGAGAGCAAACATTCTGAACTAATAAAAATAATCTAAAATCCTCTCCTATATAGGCTTATTATAGGTTAATAGTACTTTTGATGTGTTTTTAATATTTTACATATCTGTTTTTTCAAACAGCATTACCATAGATGATGTCGTTTTTGTGATAGATGGAGGAAAAATTAAAGAGACACACTTTGACACTCAGAACAACATCAGTACAATGTCTGCTGAGTGGGTTAGTAAAGCTAATGCCAAACAGAGGAAAGGTCGAGCAGGAAGGTAAGATGGAAACTTTGTCCGAAGTCTTTAGAACACACAAAAAAGTCATGAAGCAAAATGTGTTGCCTACATTTAAATAAATTATTTTTATTAGCATTACCTTTCATTTTGTTTTGAATTTATTAGTATATTTTTTAATGGAAAGTAGTTCTAATTATAATTTATTTGGAAAAGTATCTTAACTAAAAGAACTTAACTTTCTGTTTTATGAATTTTTTTCCCTCAGATTAGTCTGGTTCATTAAAATTAATGTTCTATATTCTCATTAGTTACGTTACTTAAAATTTTACTTGTTTTTTTCTTTTAAAAACATACATTAGTGGGGCCAGCAGGTAGCGTGGTGGCTAAGGTGCTAAAACACCACATGGCCAACCAGGTCCCTGACCTAACAGCTTCCTTTCTCACTCTCACACTCTCTCTCTGTATCTCCCTGGTGTGCACATGTGCCCTATAGCAAATTTAAAAAATAATAAATAAAATTAAATATATTTTTAAAAAAACATGTATTAGTTAATTATAACTAATACCATTTGAGTGTCAAGTCCTTTCATAAGCACTTGATTTGAATTAATTTGCTTAATCCTCACCATAATGCTATGAGGTTTGTTATTAGCTCCATTTTAAGAGTAAAGAAGATCAAATACAAAAATTGAAATAACTTGTCTAAAGTCACACAGCTTTATAAGTAGCATAGCCAAGATTTGAGCCTAGCATTCTGATTCTACAGTCTGGGCCCCTAATTACTGTACTCCGAGCACCGTTTTCACTGTTACCACTGAAAGCACAGAAAGTACATTTTCCCCATTGATGTGGTGGTGGTATAAGAAATTAAAATATCTGTCTTCATGATAAAAGAATAATGGGAAAACTGTGTATGAATTTCAAGAAGTTTTTGTACCAAAATAAATTCATACTTTAGTTGTAAAACATAAAAAAGAAGAAAATATTTGTCTCAAACTTTTACAGCACTTGTCGCTTCATTTTAATTCATACTTATGGTATTTGTACACTATTAGGAAACAATAGAATCATGTCCAGAGTTATAGAAGAAAGTTTTTCTTTTGACTCTTAAAGATAGAAAGTGAAGATTTTAATCTTCAAATACGGACTTACTTAAGTAAGAAAAGTAGCTGAAACTTGATTGACAATTTTATCAACTTATTTTTTGTTAGCTTGTACTAAATTTGTAAAACGGTGACTTACTTGCTGCATGTAACCTTCTCAGGTTATCCCAATATAACTTGATATCCAGGCAGTTTATCACACTGTGCAGTTCGTTGAACCCAAGTCAGGATTTGATGTACTCTCCTAGTTGGTTGTCAGGGGACAACTTGATAGGAGACCAGTAAGACTAGGATTTTCCCCAGACTCACGACTACTGGATACTGATTCAAAAAATACAGGGAACCAGCAGTTAGCATAATGGCTAAGTCACTGGACTCCCACGTAGTCGACCGCGGCTCGTGTCCCGGACCCGGTGGCTTAAAACTCACACTGGGCGCGTGTGCGTGTGTGCCCAAGATCCCGAGAGGAGAATCGAGGAGAAGGGATTGCGGCGTGATCATCCCCCCAGAGGGTGATTTCTCGCTTTCTGTCGAGCATACACGCCCTATAGCGAAAATCTCTCAAAAAAAAACTTGCCGTAGTGTATGGTTTTTGAAACATCTTTATATGTAAATAGTAAATAATATCGGTCTTGAGTTTGAGTCACGTAGCAATTATAAGGTGAATAAAGTATTAGGCAGTATTAACTAATACTTCATTCCTACTACTGTGGTGGAGGTTAGCTGTGGAATTAGTAGTGTTTTAATCTAAAAGGAAAATAGGCCCAGTCTTGAGACTGGGCACAGTTGGCACAGCTGGTAGTATACGAGACTGGATCTGGAAGTCACATGCTATCTGTGGTTATAGTTCCCAGCTCAGTTGGCCTAAAGATGTGCCACATGCTGGCATGTATCCCCAGGATCCTGGCAGGCTGGAAGACCGGTGGAAGGAAATTGTAGCATGTCCAAGCTCTATAGAGGGTGCCTGTTTTTCCCTCTCTTTTTTCTTTCTTTTACACATTCATGCACGCTATCATGAATAAATGATAGACAGTTCCTTCTAAGTTCCTTTAGTAAACCCTAATTGGTCCTTAATGGAGGTATTCTCCTTTTAGTTTCTCCCTGAAACACATTCACATAATGGGTCAGTATAGTTCTGTAGCAGAAATAGCTAAGATTTTAAGAGTTTGCTCTTTGTATAAAAACAAGAACCTATAGGGATATTTATTCTGTTTGAAAATACATGATTACTGTCACCTCTTCCCATCTGTCCTAATATTGTCCAAAATTGGTATCATTCATGTCACTTATTACATACGTAAAAATAATTTTCCAGTAGCCCTCTGAGAGCTCACTGAAAATGTACTTAAAATCTCTTTAAATAATAAAGACAGATTAGCATAATGCCCCACTTTGTTACATGCTTTGTTCATAAGGCATATTACAACTCTCAGCCTTAACTTCAGTACCTATTACCAAACATGGTAATCTGGAATCTGTCAGAAATGGAGAAGCATAGTATTGTGAGGAAGAGACAGGCTTCTATTTCTTTCATAAAATAGAAAGAAAATAGGGTTTTGGATTTTTCTGTACAAGTGGGAAAAAGGAATTTACAATTGTTTTTTTAAGAGATGTTTGCTATAGGATGTGCACGCTCACCAGAGGAACAGAGAAAGGCAGAGAGACAACATGAGAAAACACCCCCCCCCGGGGGGGGTGTATGACCACATTGTAGTCCCTTCTTATCTCCTCCCAGGATTTTGGGCACTCATGTACACATGCCCGGCATGAGTTTGAAGGTGCTAGATCCAGACCTTGAACCATAGTTGACTATGGGAGTCCAGTGACATAACTATTACACCATCAGCTAGTCCCAGGAATTTATAGTTCTTTAAAAGGAAATAATAATTGTGCAGACTAGTTACAGTGGTTGCTAGTAAGAAAAAGATATTGGCCAATTTCCTTGCCTGCTCTTTTCCCTGGAGTTCTGAAAAGTTTACTAATAACTCTCCCCCCCAACCCCAACCTTTTTCTTCTAAGAGTTCAACCTGGTCATTGCTATCACCTGTATAATGGTCTCAGAGCAAGTCTTCTAGATGACTATCAACTGCCAGAAATTTTGAGAACTCCTTTGGAAGAACTTTGCTTACAAATAAAGGTAAATTAGATGAGAGAATTAAAGGAGGTAATGTTGTAATTTTCAAGATGTTTTATAGAAGAAAATACTGTTTTAATCTATAAGGAAGAATTACTACCATGCATTTTGTTGTTGTTGTTCTTAATAAACTATGTATTTAGACCTCCGTCAAAAGTACACTGGACACTTTTTAATCACTCATTGCTGTGGAGCCACATTGCCTGTTTGAATCCCATCTCTCCTCCCTTGAGATCTAATTCTTTTAATTGAGCAGATTATTTAAGTTAACCTCATGCAAAAGTCTTAGAATAGTACCTAGTACATAATAAATGTTTGGTAAATATTAGCTATATACACCCTTGTTATAAAGTACTATTTCTTTTTAACATCTTAAGTATTTTGGTATAATTAAGTCTTGCTTTACAGGTAATCAGTAATCAATTTGTGTGCTGAAATTTTAACCAGCTGTTCACTTGTCTTACATAAATATGGTTGCTGTTAGGAAAGTAGTACATGATGCAGGCATAGTTGCATACGCCGGTAATCCTAGCTGTTTGCGAGGCTGAGGCAGGAGGATCAGGGTACAGGAAGACCATGTCAAAAATACTTCTCTGTCTCCCTTTCCATCTCTTTCTCTTCTGTCTTATAAAGTTAAATAAAAAAGCGTATAGGCTCTTTACCATGAGTTTCAAATATAATTTTAATATATTTTAGTAAAACAATTGGCTTGAATATCATGTATAAGTGTGATCCTTTATTTGTGTAATTGACAAAGGCAGGACCAAATTACTATTTTAATACATGATGTATGTTTAATTATATTTGTCTCCCTGCAGATTTTAAGGCTAGGTGGAATTGCTTATTTTCTGAGCAGGTTAATGGATCCACCATCAAATGAAGCAGTGCTGCTCTCCATACGACACCTGATGGAACTGGTAAATGTGATTTTTTAAGAAATTCTACCTTACAGTGTTGAAGTATGTAAGCCAGCTAATTATAAAATTCGATTTTCAGTACTTCAAAGTAGACCAGTGGATGTGCAGTGCCAGGTTGGATTCTCTATTTGACTATCAGCTTAGTACAAAAGGGATCTTCAGAAAGTTTATAGAAAAGTGGAATTAATGTATGAATGTAATTTGGTGCAAAAACATTTGGAAATCCAGGGTTGGATGATTGTACCAAGGGTAAAATGCAATATTCTGTAAGGCTGACCAACATTGGTAAGTTCCAGATTCATGTCCAGAGATTCCTGAGTATGCAAGGCATATGTGTGCTCATGATCTAGGGAAGGCTGAGGCTTTTGGGGTCAAGACCCTATTGGAACTGCTATCTCTGTGTCTCTCTTACTTATGAAAGAAATAAGCAGACTTTAAAAAAATTTTTAAGGTCCATGCATAGTTTTTCACAGTAGGCATTTTCTATGTACATTTTGCCGATTCCCTGGTATACAAGATATGCATTAGAAAGTTGTAAAATGATGTATTTGTGATTTCCTCTTAAGAGTCCTTTCACATAATTTTTTTCATCATAGTTCTCATTTATAATTACATAAAATTTGGAAAATTTTCAATTACTGGTCATGAAATGATCTTGATTGTTTTAATTTGTTCTTTCTCATTTCCATGATATTTTAAAGGTTTTGTCAAATCCCAGTAACAATGACAGTATGGGCAGCTTGTTAAGGCAACTCATATTTTTTGAAGGAATACTGACAGATGTTCTTTTCTCTTAAATAACCATATTCCTCTACCTGCCATTTTACTATTATATAATAGCATGTTTTCTTAGGACCTGACTCTGATTTTGTTAGTTCCTTTTTCTGAAGTCATTGTTTTGAGATACCAGTGTTAGTGTAATTTAGTTGGCATCTGTACTTGCACAGGATGATATCAAGAGAGGCACAGGATTAGCCGTGAGTGGGTATCTGGAGTGGGGAGAAAGGCAGAGGCATTTAGGGCTATGCTAATACACCTACCACTAGGCATATGTGGCGGTCTGAATTCTCAATTAAATGAGCAGTTCAGTATTTCAGTTCTCACACATTTCAAGTGCTCAGTAGGCATACTTGTGAGTAATGCCTGTATTTCCAAATATGTTATTAGAATGTTCAGATTTTGATCAAGATTGCATTGAACCTGTACATCAATTTGAGAAAACTGACACCTTTGCCTTGTCTTAACAAGAACATGATCTGTCTCTTCATTTATCTAGGCACTTAATCTCAGCATATTAGATTTCTCTGTAGTGGTACACCTGTTTTTAGATTCCTAGTAAAGTAGTATCTTTGGATTCTATTCTATAACATCTACATTTTTCATTTTCTTGGAAATCTGATATAGAGAAATAATACTGGTTTTTAAACACTGACCTTGTGTTTATTAATGCTATAAAACCTACCTGGTCTAAAAACCACATATAGATTTTTTGTCTTCATACACAGTCATATTTGTTTTTTTTTAAGAGAAATTTTTGCTATCGGGTTTCTTCATACACAGTCACATTTGTTTTTTTTTTTAAGAGAAATTTTTGCTATCGGGTATTGCCAGAGAGAGACAGAAAGCGAGAAATCAACCTGGGGGATGTGTATGCCACAATTTCTCCTCCATTCTCCTCTCAGGATCTTGGGCACACACGCACTTGTGCCGGGTGTGTGTTTTAAGCTACTGGGTCTGGGATTCGAACCAAGGTGTGTGTTTTAAGCTACTGGGTCTGGAATTCGAACCACAGTTGATTACATGGGAAACCAGCAACATAATCATTACACCATCTGCTGGTCCTTCATTCCAATTTTATTTATTCTTTTCCAGTTCCTAGGACCCCTTGTACAATGTTAAGCAGAAGTTTTAAGATACAGTATACATTCTTGTCCTGATCTTGTCCTCCATCAATATTTCATTGAGTATAATACTGAAGCTTAGAGCTTTTATCAAATTAAGGACATGTCCTTAGTTTATTAAGAGATTTTGATTACCCATGGATAATTTATATTATGGATAATCAAATACCTTTTCTGCTGTTGGTGTGAATATGACTTGTTTAGTACACTAGTATGTTATTCAGTACACATTAGTGTATTGGATTTGATGATACAAATTCAGTTTTCATTCCTTAAATAAACCTAACTTGCTAGGATTCAACTAGCTTTATTTGTTTATTTTTCCTTTATTTTGCTATAGAGCAAGTGCACTAGCTGGAGACAGAGAAAGTGAGACAGCACCCCTTGGAGGATGCCTATACCACACTCTGCTCTCCTCCATTCTTCCCTTGAGTTTCTGGGCATGCACACACATGTGCCCAGGTGCTTCGCAAGCTGCTGAATTCAGGATTCAACAGTGCAGTCACCCATGGGGGACTCAGCAACCCTAACTACCATGCCATCAGGCTGGCCCAGCTTGCCTTATATCGTTAAACGTTTTTCATGTCTAAGATTATTTAGTAGTCTCCCTTTCTTCAGATGGCCATGTCAAAATGTCATATGAAGATTACACTAGGTTCACAAAAACAAGTTAAGGGTATTATGATTGGGTGGGGGGGGAAGGTGTTTAATAAGATCAGGGGTATATCCTTCCAAAATGTATAGTAAAAATCTATGCCTAATGGGATGTTTAGGTTCTTCTTTCTATTATTTCTTATTTGAATCGTGTATATCTAGTTATTTTAATTATGTACTAGAAATTCTATTTACTAAATTATTTGTAGGTAAAATTAGAAACCTAGGGTTATGATAACTTTCTTCAGAAAGGATTTAATGTTGCTTCTGCCAGGAAAAGAGGCCCAGCCTTTGTGCTCACCTCCTGGGACATGTGTCTTTCCCTATATTAGACCTGTAACTCTTTTGTTAACTCCTTAGTATCTTCAAGCCACTTAGGTAGCTGTCCTTAGTGGGATGGTTGGACCAGGTTTCCCATAGAATCAGAGTAGAAGTCACTCCAATTTTCCATGGTTCTAGATAGGTCTCTTATCAGTTGCTGTCCTATCTCATGCCACCTAAATCCATTTAAATTAGAATTTAGGAGCTATGCATTGAATGTTCCAAATATATGATAATGTCTCTTTCTTCGCTTTTTTTTTTTGAAAGATTATTGCTATAGGGAACATGCACTCACTGGAAAGACAAAAAGCAAAAAATCATCCCCCTCCCAGGGGGGATAGCCATGCCACAGTCCCTTCTCTCCATTCTCCTCTCGGGGTTTTGGGTATACACACACATGCACCTGACACAAGTTTTAGACCACTGGGTCTGGGACTCGAACCATGGTCGGCCATGTGGGAGTCCAGCGACATAACTATTACTCCATCTGCTAGCAGGTCCCTCTTTGCTTTGGTTTTGTTTCGTTTCCACAATTCATATTTTATTGGGTGATTTTCTTTATTTGAATGAAAAATTGCTAATTTGTTATTTCTGTTATTTCTCTTAATATATACAGTAAAGCCAAGTTGTATATTTTGTTTAAATAACTTTCTAACTTTGCTGACTTCAGTTGATGTTTTGATGAAAAAAACTAGAGCTGAACATAATTAGGGCATTTGGGCTCAAAGGAGTGAGTACTGGCCTGCTGGTTTTTTTTAATGTAGTGCTTTATATTGTCTATTTAAAACATGAACTCTGCCTTTACAGAATGCTTTGGATAAGCAAGAAGAATTGACACCTCTTGGAGTCCACTTAGCACGATTACCAGTCGAGCCACATATTGGGAAAATGATTCTCTTTGGAGCTCTGTTCTGTTGCTTAGACCCAGTACTCACTATTGCTGCTAGTCTCAGCTTCAAAGATCCCTTTGTCATTCCATTGGTAAGAAACAAACAAAGGCACAGAGAGTAATTGTTGCTTAGATACATTTTTCATTAGCTTTTCATTAGAATGCAATTCTCTATTATAGCATCAGACCAATTTAAATGCCTTTATCTGTTTATTTTTTAAGGGAAAAGAAAAGATTGCAGATGCAAGGAGAAAGGAATTGGCAAAGGATACTAGAAGTGACCACCTGACAGTTGTGAATGCATTTGAGGTAAATATATATATGTGTGTGTGTGTGTGTGTGTGTGTGTGTGTGTGTGTGTATTCATTCTGGATTATGACACATTATTCAAGTGAAGATCTGTTAATAGAACAGGGACATAGCAATATTTAATCTTTTAAAAACCTGTGTGATAGGTATATCAGAAATAAATTTGTTGATAATATTTAAAGTTAGTTGAACATTCGAAAAAAATCATTTTCAGTTTTTGTAATAGGTCATTACATTGATCCTTTTGGGTAAAAGGTGTCTGTTTTAGTAAGACTGGAACAAGTGAATGATGCATTTTAAAATTTTGTATTTGCTATTCCTTTTTATCATTGTCTTCTTGACATTTGTGACAGTCTGTATTCATTGATGAACTACCTCTTTATTCAAATTTAACATTTTTGATTATTATATGATTCAGATTAGGAAGATATTCTCTGCTTTCCAGACCCAAGCTTATCTGAGGATAAATACCACCCATATTTGCCAGTTTAAGTGTAATTTGGTTTATGGAGTTAGTTTCCTTTAATTTATAGCTCTAGATTTAGTTTTGTACTACATTTATAGGGAAGTCAGTTGGTTTTTTTTTTTTTTTTTCCCCTTTTGAGTTTATTCAGCCTTTCATTTTTCCCAATTTCTCTCCTTCTCTAGGTTAAAAACTTTGGGAGGAAGTTGGAAATGGACAATAACTTTGAACATTGTTTAGTGTGCTCTTTTTAACTAATATGTCATGTATAGTATGATGCCGTTCTTTGTGTATACACCATAGAGTGTACACAGTTATTATTTCTATATAATGTGTTTATCCCTCAATGACTAGGATCATGAGAAGTTTATGGGTTTTTTTTAGGTTTGTAAATTTGAAAGTTGTTCATATTTTTTACAAAGATATGAAATATCAGTAGAAGGTTAGTAAAATAAAAGTGGATTTATAACAGTAAGTGGTTTTTGCATTTGGAAGCAATATAAATAGATTTCTTTACCTCTTCAACCTTATAGGGCTGGGAAGATGCTAGGCGACGTGGTTTCAGATATGAAAAGGACTATTGCTGGGAATATTTTCTTTCTTCAAACACACTACAGGTAACAGTGACTATGTGTTCATTGTATAATGAGATTGTAGCAGAAAGTTAAATAAGTACAATTTGCATGTATTTGTTTTATAAACAAAATAATGGGAACCTTCATTAAGTCAGTTGCAACAAAACTAGTAAGGTTGTGTAATTTGGTATAAAAGATAAAAAAACAAGTGGCTGTGAGAGGAAGGTTCCAGAGTATAACAACAAAGTACAATAAGGCTCAATTGTCATTTCTATCCCTACCTACTAGTTGCCATTTTGATGATTCAACCTGAGAATTTTCACTAGCACTTCTAAAATCTATTGAAAAATATCAGATAGGATAGATCTCTTATACTTTGCTGATTTACTGTAGCAAAATGCTCCTTGATAGGTGTTTGTAAAAGAAAAAAGTAAGCAATAAATATGGCATATGCCCATCATCCTTCAGACCTCTGAACTGGGGAAGTGATCTCAAGCAGTAGGAACAAAATTTCACCTTTTTCCAATACACATACACTCCAGTGATGTGGCAAAAACTCCCGTTATGGGCATTTAACAGATACAAAGCAGTAAGCAAGTAAAAAATCTATCAGACATGTCCAATTATTAGCAAATGAAAGAAAAAGAATCATGATGAATCTGAAAGATGCTGCATGCAAAGGAAAAAAAGAATGAAACACAGTATATTTCAACAGAAAATACCTAACAAGTCTTTCATAATATGAAATAGCTTAATAAAAATATGAATTTAGTGGGACCAGCAGGTAGCATAGTGGTTGAAATACTGGACTCTCACATGGCTGACTACAGTTCAGATGGAGACTTGAAACTCACACCTGGTGCATGTGCCCAAAATCCCGAAAGGAGAATGAAGGAGAAGGGATTACAGCATGCCATCCCCCCTGCGGGATGATTTCTCATTTTTTTCTCCGTCTGTCTGGCAAGTGCTCACGTCATATAGCAAAAATTTCAATATATGTGTGTGTTTCTGTCTATATATATACATATATATGTATGTATACACAACATATATATACATTCCTTAAAACAAAAATAAGAAAGTGAACTGATAGAGTCAGTGAAAAAGCTGTGAGCTAAGGAAAGAAATAGAAGACGAGAAGAAAATCAGAAGAACAAAATGGACACCTCTTAGAAACATAACTGCCATAGAAGAAAGGTTGAGGTAATTGCAATGTAGGGATGCAGCCGAAATACACAAGCAGTGTCATTACGTAGAATCGCATGTAATTGAAAGTTTATTCAGAGCTATGTATAGAACATGATTTCCCTGAAATGAAAAAAAATATGAGCCAGAAGTTTGAAATGTTTTAATCTAAGTGTTATTTTGAGAATATCATGTCCAGTGAAGATACTAATTTAAGTACAGAAATAAAACAGGCATTGAAGAAAACATTCAGGAAATACTGTACCCATGTGCTCTTGAAAAACTCATTGACAATAAAATGCTGCGTATTAAGAGATGAATCCACTTGAAGATTGCAAGTGAGCTCTTGGCCTGATGGTTAAGGCAACTGGATCCACATGGCTAAACACTATTTGAATCCTGCATGTGGTGGCTTGAGAAATTCCAGCTATGTGTGCATGTGTGTCCAAAATTTGAAAGGAGCTGGAGAAGGAAATGCAATTTAACCATGTTCCATTGGAGGTGCTTTTCATTCTCTCTTTCTCTCTTCAGTGAGCACATATGGCCTCTGGCAATTTTTTTTTTTAACACGTGAGGATTTCAGAAATGTACATTGCCTTCTGAATCACCTACAGATGTGCACTGAAATCATGTAACTATAGAACTAATGAAAAATAGTGTTGAGAATTATACATTCGGAACAGAATATAAAAATGATTATCCTGATAAAATAAGATAAGGGTAAGGAAAACCACGAATTAGCTAATAGAGTTATAAGAAAAAAGTGGGGAAACTAACATCACACTTTTTTTTTTTCTTTTTTTTGTGAGATTTTTGCTATAAGGCACATGCGCTCACCAGAAAGACAGAGAGAGACTGAAAGCAAGAAATCACCTCCCGGGGGGATGGCCTCGCCGCAATCCCTTCTCCTCCATTTTCCTCTCGGGATCTTGGGCACACATGCACATGCGCCTGGCATGAGTTTAAGCCACCAGGTCCAGGACTCAAACCATGGTCGACTACAGGGGAGTCCAGCGACATAGTCATTACACCAACTGCTGGTCCCACATCACACCTTTTATAGAGAGGATGTATACTTAAGTATTACCAACTTTGTGTTTCATAATTTACTATTTTAAGCTTAAAAGGAAATCTTCAGAATTCAAATTTAAGCTTTATTTGGTTGTTTACTTTTGTTTCTGTTTAAATCTTATTTAAATTGAACTAAAGTTAATTGTAATAGTTTTATAAAAATAACTTCCATAGTTTTATGAAAACCACAGCAGTTTTGTGAAAATTGATCTTGTTGTTAGGCTATCTTTTTGTCTAATTCTTCTGTTGGTATATGTCATAATTAGTGCCTGCAATCTTGTCTGTGTAATAATGAGTATTTCTGAAAAGTATTAAGTTAAGGCATGTTTCTTTACTGCTACTTTCCCGTATAACTTGACTGGCTTTGTATCATTTTTATTCAAGTAATAATTTTTCTTTAAAAAATCAGATCTTAAGCTTATGCCAACAGTAGTAATAATGATATGGATATTTATTATTTTCTTGGTGTTTTTCTATATTTTTTCAAAGTATGGGGAAGTATTTTATTTTTTGAGATACTTTTGCTATAGGGAGAGTCTGCTCACCAGAGAGACAAAGAGAGAGGGAGACAGTGAGAAATCACCCTCCAAGGGGGATGACCATGCCGCAATCCCTTCTCCTCCATTCTCTTCCTGGGATCTTGGGCATGCATGCACATGCTCGAGGCATGTGTTTGAAGCCACCAAGTTCAGGAATTGAACCATGGTCAGCCATGTGGGAGTCCAGTGATGTAACCACTACGCCACCCACTGGCCCTAAGGGAGGTATTTTTAAAAGTATGTTAGTGAATTTTTTGAAAAGTAGAAAAGTCCTTAAACATCAGTGGTTATTTCTTACCTCATGCATACTTTTTCTGTAAAAGGCCAACTAACATTTTAGACTTGCAGGCAATATGGACTCTGTTACATCTACTCACTTTTGCCATTGTAGTGTGCAAAAGCTGCCATAGACAATATGTAGATGAATGTGTATGGCTGTACCCAGTAAAACTTTATTGATAAAAACATGTTTTCTTAGTTTGCCAACCTCTGCTTTAAAACATCATAATTATGTGCAAGTGTTTTCATACAGCAGGAAGAGCTTACAACTAAATTTACTTGTGAGTGTATGTTTTGTAGCCCCCATGTAAAAGGTACCTGGTTCTATGTGTTACCATTGCTCCCTAGATGCTGCATAACATGAAAGGACAGTTTGCTGAGCATCTTCTTGGAGCTGGATTTGTAAGCAGTAGAAATCCTAAAGATCCAAAATCTAATATAAATTCAGGTAAAACAGAAAAATAGTGCAAATAACTTACCATTGTTGTCCATTGTATCAGTATTTTACTTTTCATTTACTTTTATTTCTCTACCTTCCCACCCCAATAGATAATGAGAAGATAATTAAAGCTGTCATCTGTGCTGGTCTATATCCCAAAGTTGCTAAAATCCGACTAAATTTGGGCAAAAAAAGAAAAATGTAAGTATTGAAGATTATTATGAATTACTTATAATTCTCTCAAACTTGAAATTCTCTCCAGGAATAGGGCTTATATTGTGAATTTGTTCTTACCCATATTTGGGCCATATTTCTGTTCTTTTGATCACATAGAAGAAGGCATACCGTTGAACATAGGTGTCATTGTCCCTCACAGCAAGTCCTCTCTCATCACAATGTTAATAAAATGAGGGCATTGTAAATATTAGTCCTCTAATTTACAAGCTGCTGCTACTCCAGTGATAAAGGAACTTGGGATAGCATTGGTTAAATTGACTATGGGATAAGAAGCATAATTTCTCATTTTATCCAGAATAATGAGTTGTGACTATGGTAACTGGTTTTTGATAAGAGTATGAATTCTGAGAATCTCAAGAAAGGTAAAAGATAATTCTTAAAAACAAATAAGGAGAATTCATCAATTATTAGTTTTCATACTATTATCCTATACTGATAATTACCATTAATTATTTTTTAAATGAACCATCAAACATCTTCCTGTTGAATATTAATCAAAGACTTAACAAAGTGAGAGAAAATTTGTGTTACTATCAAAAAAATTGTAAAAACCCTAGGAGCTGAATGTTAAAAAGTACATTTATTCCAAATGTATTGTAATTTGGAGATTTGAATGAGAGAGAGACCACTTAAGACATTTTTAAATAGATTTCCTTTTTTTTTTTTTTTTTGAGAGGCTTTTGTTATAGGGTATATGTACTCGCCAGAAAGAGAGAGATAGAGAGACAGAAACCAAGAAATCACCCCACAGGGGGATGGCCACACCGCAATAATTTCTCCTCCATTCTCCTCTTTGGATCTTGGGCATGCATGCACAGACGCCTGGTGTGAGTTTAAGCCACCAGATCCGGGACTCAAACTGCAATCAGCTACATGGGAGTCCAGCAATATAGCCATTATGCCAACTGCTGGTCCCTAAATGGATTCCTACTGTTTCTATATATCATGAATAAAATTCCTCTTCCCTCAAATATAAATTTGTGAATTTATATATTGTAAAAGTACACTAGAATTTATTTGGATTTTTTAGATTCCCGGGTTTCATTAAGTTAGGCTTTCTAAGCAGTTCTTAAAGTAATGAAAAAAAAAAAAAAAAAACAACTTCTTTCTAACAAATTTCATTTTAACTTTTTTAAAGGGTGAAAGTTTACACAAAAACCGATGGCCTGGTTGCTATACATCCTAAATCTGTCAATGTGGAACAGACAGACTTTCACTATAACTGGCTTATCTATCACCTGAAGATGAGAACAAGTAGTGTAAGTGAACATTTAAAATAATTATAGATCTGATTATTATTCTCTTATAATTGTATGATTTTCATAACTTTAAATAAACATTTATTTTCCTCTAACATAAATTATTACTTTTTTTCTTAGGCATATAACCTGTACTTTTAGTTCATATTTCTGTCATGGTGGATCTTTGTGTTTTAATGAATGAGGACAGTTATTTATTTGATTTGCATAATTTTCTCTTATAGCCTGAAATAAGCATTTTCGAGAAAAATGGAATTATGTTTATATTTTTCTCTTTAGGGAAATAATGATTTTTATAATCTTAGATCTGTAGATAAAAGTAATTTCAGCTACCTTACTGTTTTGGGTTTGTCAAACAGAACATATTTTGTTCAAAGAATAGTGCAGTAGTTTAGAGCAAAAATAAAAAACTCTTCTGTTTTATGAGTTAAGGGAAAGTGGTTTATTTAAAAATTATTTTCTTCAAAATTAATCTCTATAATTATACGAGCATTATAATCTCTATAATTATACTAGCATTAATTATAATTAATGCCTATCTTACAAGGAGGGTACTAATAGGTTGATACTGGTGGTGGTGTTGATTTATATGATAATCCTTTTAGACTTGTGAATGTATTAATTCATTTTTGTTACAGATATACTTGTATGACTGCACAGAGGTTTCCCCATACTGTCTCTTATTCTTTGGAGGTGATATTTCTATCCAGAAGGATAATGATCAGGAAACTATTGCTGTTGATGAATGGATCATCTTTCAGTCTCCAGAAAGAATTGCCCATCTTGTTAAGGTGACTGACTTTGCTTGATTATCTTTAATCCACTTGCAAATCAGTAATGGTCTCATGGTTTTGTCCCAAGTGCTAGGTATATGAAACATTTCTTGCTCTATTTCAGTAGAGCAAATAGTGTTAAAAAATTGATTCATAGTTTCTCCAAATTATTTTTGAGGTGGTAGCAGACCTACCCTCTGAAAGTGGGTTAATGTGATTAAAATTTGAATTTTTTAACTACACAGTTTGGTTGATCCCTCACAACAGCCTTTTGTAATAATAGCTTATGATACTCCTGTACCAGCTAAAATCACTTTTATTTATTATATTGTTTGAACATGTTTCATTTTTCCAACCTTAGGAATTAAGAAAGGAACTAGATACCCTTCTCCAAGAGAAGATCGAAAGTCCTCATCCGGTAGACTGGAAGGACAGTAAATCCAGAGACTGTGCAGTACTCTCAGCTATTATAGACTTGATCAAATCACAGGAAAAGGCAACAACACCCAGGAACTTTCCACCACGAATCCAGGATGGCTATTACAGCTGACAGCTTTTTTGTAATGGTCTGAAAAGCCAGGTGGACAGCCATTTCCATCACAGTTTAAGTTTGGTCTAGACGCCAAACCCTGGGATAAAATTAATTTTCGTGTATAAGGTAGAAACCTTGAGTAGGTAGTAAAGACTTCATGTGCATGATTTAATGATGTTATCTGTAGCTACTATAAATATACCATAAATAGTGATATGTACTCTGGTCATATACCCTGTCATGTCATGTCCATCCACACTTTGGGAGTATTTCTCTCGTATTTATTGATTATTGTATCACTTGAAATATTCCTTTGTTCAGTTACACAAAATTAACCTTTGTGCCCATAATGACTGAGTATAGATCCTGCAAAAATAAGACGGTTAGCCATAAAGCCATGTCAAGTGAGAATTTGCACACAACCGTATTTTTTAAAACAAAACTTCGATCAGAAGTAAATTAAGTTGTAATAAAGCCCTGTATTTAATAAAATGTACAATGTGTAAATCTTAGCTAATTGCTTGGCTTGGTTTTTACATCTCCAAATATCACTTGATTTATTTGATGTTTTTATTTTTTAAAAATACATGTGTTACCTTTTTGCATCAACCTGTGCAGTATAACCCAGCAAAGAAGAACAGGGGTGAATAGCCTTACCACCTAGGTCCCAGTCTCAGCTCTGTCACTTATTTGATGTCTTTGGCAAGTTAATTGACCTCTTTCTGATTCCCTTCCCTTATCTGTAAAAGGTGAAAATTTGAAGATACAGTGTTAATACATGTAAAGCACATAATCTAGTGCCCAGCACATGGAGTGTACTTACTGAATCTTATTATTTGTCCCAGACATATTTTTTTAATGTCTAACAATCCATTATACTATAAATACTGTTTTCATTGCTACTTTACCCTCTTAGCCACTGGAAGCTAGTGTGACAACATGTACTGTGTGGTTTCATCTCTGTCAGTTGTAGCAAGTACTATTGGTTGCTGTCCAACAGCAGATTTGTCCCACTCTCCTTGCTTGCTGCTGCTTAAAGTGTTTCCCCTCTATGCAACCTTGTGCCCAAGATTTTTGGACCCTCTTCTCCAAGTGTGAATTGGGTTGTTCTTAGCCAGTTGTGTGATCTTGTTCCCCTCATAAATAATTGGTGAGGCATGTAAGTGTGACCCTTTCCTGGCCAAAGGCTACCTAAAAGCAATCTGCAAAGGGATGCCTGAGAAGATGTTTTCTCACTAATAAATAGATTTAAAGGAGGAAACTCTGCCCTCTTTCTTTGGACATTGTCTTATCTAAATCTGATACTCAGAACTGCTGCGGCTCATTTATAATCACTGGAGGTTACAGAGCCATGTACTGAGATGGACTCAGTTGAAAGATAAACTGAGTCCTTAATAAGGATGGTGAGCTGCAGAAGTAACCAACTCTAGAACTGCCCTTCATATGGTTTATCTTGATCTAACATTTCCTTCATTGTTTAAGCCACTTTTAGTAGGGTGTTTTTAACTTAGCAAAAAGCATGTTAACTGAAACACATAAGCTCTCCATCATTAAGTGTTACTTGCTGGGGGCTCATTTTCTGCCATTTATTTTGTGATATAACAGTTCTGACCCATGTGTCTTGACTGAAGGTATAAAAGTAGCAGGGCTGGACATACTACAAAAAGAAATTTAGAAAAAGCACACTACTATACCCTAAAAAATGCAGATTTTATTGTGCCTTCCAATAAATGCATGGAAACCAAAGGAATAAGAATATCATACAAAGATGGATGTATCAATAATGCTATGACGATCTGTTAACAATACTGGTTCGGGTACTGCTCCCATTTCTGGAAGTGTATGTCATTCTGTTAACAATACTGGTTCGGGTACTGCTCCCATTTCTGGAAGTGTATGTCATCTGTCAGTGCTTACCCAGGTTTGAATGTACTGTGTGTCTTAACTGTTCCCTTGGCTGATCTCCCAAAAGTAAGCTGCCTGTCACTGCATTCCTGTTTTTCCATGTCACGGTATTAAAGCATATTAATTTTGACTGTGAAGACCATTAGGTCATTTTTACTCTGTACAAGTGTTTTGCTTTTTTATTTTTTTTTTCCCTGTTGTTACTGTCCAGTTTAAATTCACAATCCATTGGCCAAAATGATTTTTGAAAGAAAGGACATTAATGATTCTATAAGAAAGAATTGATTTCGTACTTGCAAATAATATTCTATCTCCATATGAATGGAAAAAAAAATGTTCCTAAAGAGTTATTCAATAAATGAGTTAATTCCCCAGAATTGAAGCAGTACTGTCACCTCCAGTTTGTCTTTCAAGCTAATCAAGATGGAAATTTTAATCAAAGGTGCTACTTGTTTCTTTTGTTTACAAAATAAATTGGGTAGTTCTGAGTAGAAAATGAATTCCATGTGTAAGAACTGTTGTTCTTTATAATAAGACATTAAATTAAGAAGGAAAATGTATTTGTATTACCATTCTGAGCAATACAGAGTATAACTCTTAAAAAAACAACTGGAACAGAAGCTTACGGGAATAAAAGAGAAACCACTGAATAATCTTTAAAAAGCTTCTTTGTACAGTGAGTACATAGGATGCCTTCCTATTTCATTAATATGAGCAAAAGCTCTACATGAATTTATACAAACTATTACAATTTATTCTCTATTGTTACTGCATTTTTAAAACAGTCTAACCTAAACATAAATTAAAAAAAAAAAAACTGTAGAAGGAATTTATTTTAGTACCTCCTCACCTAAAGTAAATGGTAAAATTCTTTTCATTCTTAGCTCTGAGTTTGTATTTTTAAGTAATTATGCTCATGTTGTATAGGCATATATCTGTAGTATGCTTGTTGTTTTTAAATGGCTTTTTAATTCTGATTTAGAAAATAGACAACCATTGGACATCTGGAAAGTCAACACAGCAAGTAAATCATGTTACCATTGTTATATTCTTGATATATTTTCATACTTTTTTTAAGCTTTAAGATATTATTTTATATATTATAAAATTGAACAATTTAAGTGTGTAATTCAGTGAACTTTGTCAAATGTATAAAGTCATGTAAGTAACTAAATAACCACAATTTTGACATAGAACATTCCTGTCACCTAAAAATTTCCCTTACTCCCTTTTTAGTGACTCTCCTGCCCTCATTTCTAGCCCCTGGAAACCATTGATCTGCTTTTGTCACTATTTTGCCTTTTCTAGAATTTTAAGTAAATGGAATCATACGTAGTCTTTGGTGTCTAGCTTCTTTCACTTAACGTAATGCTTTCAAGATATTTATGTCGGATGTAGTTTCTTTTTTATTGTTCAATATTAATAATACATTGTATGGTTATACCAGTTTGTTTACTCATTCACCAGTTGATAGACATTTGAGTTATTTCTGGTTTTTTGCTATTATGAATAAAGCTGCTATGAACCTGTGTATACAAGTCTTGGTGTGGTTATGCTCTTTCATTTCTCTTAGGTAAATACCTAGGGTTAAGGTTGCTATATCATGGTTAGTGAGTTTATAAAAGATGGCCAAATCATTGTCGAAAGTCGGTATACAATTTTACATATCCAACAGCAGTATACAAGGGTTCTGGATGTCCCATGCCCTTGCCAGTACTTAGTATTTTAGAGATACAGAAGTTGTTATTTATGTTCTTTGATACTGAAAATGGACAAATGTGTTACTCTGCAGTTGGCTGATACAGCATAAAGAGTTAAGCCATTGTTACCAAGTACCAGAAGAGAATAGCATCAGTTTTAGGTAGTCACAATGACATGACGTTTCATATACACTGTTAGACAAGAAACAGTATGAAAGACATTTCTGGGTATTGAGAAAGCATGGGAAAGGAGGAAAACGGCAACTGTGGAAGCGTTGCAGAACCAATTTTTATGTGGGCGATAGCATCCAACCAATCTTGCTGAGTTAGAGATCTTCTTTTAAATTGTGACTACCCTTTTTTTGTAAATTTGATTAACCTCTTAATGGTCCTGTGTAAATTTTCAAGTAATAGTCTCAAGAAGACCGTGAGTGTTGTTGTATCTCTGAATCCTTGCAGAGTATGGTATGCTACCCTGATGCAACAAAGGTAACTTGGTTGGAAATAAAATTGATTTTAGCAAAGCTTTTAGTGACACAGTGATTCCTTGGTGATTTTTCTTTTTCTGGGCCTATATTTAAGAGACCATGGAACCAGTAGTTAGCGTAATGGCTATGTCGCTGGACTCCCATGTAGTCGACCTGTGGTCCGCGTCCCGGACCCGGTGGCTTAAAACTCATGCCGTGTGCATGTGCGTGCATCCCCAAGATCCCGAGAGGAGAATGGAGGAGAAGGGATTGTGGCGTGGCCATCCCCCCTGGGGGGTGATTTCTTGCTTTCTGTCTCTGTCGCTCTCTGTCTGGCGAGCGCATGCGCCCTATAGCAAAACCCTCTCTAAAAAAAAAAAAAAAAAGAAAAAAAAAGAAAATACTAGCTGTGTATTTATTTACAAGGATTTTAAGTATGGTAGTGCATAGTTTTTGCTACAGTTTCCATTCATCCAGTTTATAGCCATTTTTCTTGTTAATTTTGATAGTTTGGGTATTTTCAGTTCCTAGAAGCCAAGGTTTTCCTTTGATTGTGAAACAAAGATGGAATCTGTACCTCTAACATTTTTGCAGTGTCTGGAGTTAATACAAATGGAGACCTATATATTGTGTATATATATATATGAATTATTTAACTTTATTACTTAATTTGTTAGGACATAGGTGATTACCAGAGAGAGAGAAAAAGAGAGTGAGAAAGCAAGAAGCCAGGTATTATACTCGAACCACAGTTGGCCACATGAGAGTCCAGCACCCTAACCACCACACTACTGGCTGGGCCCAGATCTGTATAATTTTTTAATATTAAAATCAGTTTAACAAATGAATAAAATATGTCCTTCTATCTTGACAAAATATACACTTAATGATGACCGAAATTTGTATGAAATACTATCGAAGATGACATTTAGCCCTAGTTTTTTTCCAAGTACTTTTGACTTTTTCTCAAATGCTCTTTTTTGCACCAATTGACATAACTGGAATTTTTCATCACCAGCCATTTATATATATATGTATGTATATATATATGTGTGTGTGTGTGTGTATAAAATTTATGTTTTAAATGACAGTGGAAATGAGCTAGGATCCCCACCACCACCACACACACACACCAATTTAGCCTGGTTACACTGCAGTCCTATGATGAGAACCACATCAGACAATATCATTTGCTTTCAACCATCTAACAGTTTTGAGAACTCGCAGAGTCTTTAATATTTACTTAAATGTTTAATCTTTTTGTTCTTTATTCCTGATGTTTTTTTCCTTTCTGTTATCATTTCTTTTTTTATATATAAACTTCCTTCAACAGTTCTTTTGTTTTAGTACTTTATTTTTTAGAGTGGTTTTAACTTTACAGAAAAACTGAATAGAAAGTACAGAGTTCCTGTTTAACCCTGAACCCTCTATCCTAAAATTTTCTCTATTATTAACATTTTGCATCATGGAGTATGTTTGTTACAAGTAATAAGCCAATATTGATACTATACTATTAACTAAGTCCACAGTTTATGTTAGGGATTTTTTTTTCCTAGATTTCTGCTATAGAGCGTGTATGCTTGTCATGCTGCAATCCCTTCTCCATTCTCCTCTAGGGATTTTGGGCACAAACACACACACGCACAGTCTGTTTCGAGCCAGGTCTAGGACTTGAACTGCAGTCAATTAAAGCCAGGTCTAGGACTTGAACTGCGGTCAATTACCTGGGAGTCCAGCAATGTAACCATTATGCTATGTGCTGGTCCCATGGCTCACTCTTTATGTTGTACATTTTGACAAATGTGCAATGACATATAGCCATCATTACCATATTGAATATTTTCACTGCCCTTAAAAATCTGCCTTGTTCACTTCTTCCTCTCTCCCTCCACCTGAACCCTTGGCAACCACTGTTTACATGGTTTGCCTTTCCAAAACGTCATTGTTGTAGTCCAAAAATGTGTAGCCTTTTCAAATTTGTCTCTCTCACACAGCAATAGATATTGCTTAATAGCTCTTTCATTTTATTGCTAATATTCCATTGTATGGATGTAACAGTCCCTTCATCTACTGAGGTACATCTGAGGTACATATTCCAAGTTTTTGCAATGATAAATAAAACTTATAAACATGAATGTACAGGCTTTTGTGTATAAATGCTTTTAACTTACGCAGATAAATGCTGAGTATGATTGTTTAGTTCTGTAGAAATTGTCAAATTGACTTCCTAAGTAGTGTTTGTTTTCTCACCAGCAATTAATAAGAGTTTCTGTTGTTTTTCATTCTTAACTGGAGGGGTCCGACCCAGTGGGGCCCCAGGATCTGTCTGAGCCCCACCCCCCACTTCCAGTCGGTTCAGTAC